GCGGTGTTCCTGCTTCTTCAACGGCATGGTGCTTTGGGTGTGTTGGATTGACTTTGTTTTGAGAGTGGAACTTGATTAGATCAGCTCCAAGTTGGCTTTTTTTGCTTTTGTTCGTCGAAGAGTGGGGAACCCATTTGTTGACTCACTGTGCCTTTTGAGGTGTTCTATGTGCCTTTCGAGGTGTTCTATGTATGCGTGTTCATCTCATTTTGTATCAGCCGATTTTGCATGTCATACCAACTGTTCGATAAAATTACTGAGTCAAGTGATGACCCTGCAACGACCTTGTTATCTTCATACGACAAAGAGGATCATTAGGTGCCTTTATGATTTTGGGTGCATCTTGTCCAAAACGTAGGAGGAGCGACGCGGTTCAGATCTGAAGAGATCTAAGGAAAATCACCGTCAACTTTGACTCGGTTTCGCAATCAAGATTCTGAAGGGAAAGTGATCGTTGGCTTCATTCATTTGCGGAGATTTCGGCGATTCCGGCAAAAACTAGTGTCTCTGGCCCCACTACGCCACCTTCCACAACCTCAACGCCGGCATCGGCTTCCAGGCCCTGCTCTTGCCCGTCGCCTTCGCTTTTCTGTGCTGGTGAGAGTTTGACGATGTTTGTTTGTTGGTTTCGTTCGTTTCGGTGTTTGACGAAATGTTTCTTCCAAACAACATGTTTTTGAACCGTAGAGTAGTCCCATTACTGTGTTATTTTCTTTATTCAACCCGGCATGTTTGTACAACGATGCAAAGGCCATGTTTAGTCATCTGTCATTGCATAGTAACAGTTGCATAGATAATGGTTTCGTTGCATAGTTTTGTTGATAGCATATAGCGATTATTGGGCAATGATGGTTTTTGTTGATTCTGGAATGTTAATTATTTTTGCTGATTGCTAGATGTCTTTGTCGACGGATTCTAGCCACACAAATAGAAGGAAGAGATCCATTATGTGGGATCACTTTAAAAGGATTCCATGTACAGACAAAAACCAAGAAAAGGCTGAATGTTTATATTGCAGGGTCTACATTGGTTGTTCTAGTACTCAAGGGACTAGTTCAATGCATCATCACTTAGATAGATGTAAGGAATATCCATATGCAAACATTAAGAAAAGGCAAAAAAATGTATCGGGTCAACCTGTTGGGGTTGGTAGTTCATTTGGTCCATGGAAATTTGACCAAGATGCTAGTAGAAAAGAATTATCTACCATGTTCATTCTTGGTGAATTACCTTTTAAGTTTGTAGAAAATGAGGGTTTTCGGTGTGACATTCTAAATTTCGATCCACTTGGTATTTATGAAATGCATAATTTTAATAACGCACTTGTAGTAAATCTCGCCCAGACTTGATCACTCTTAGGACACTGACCAATAGGGAAAGGCTAATTAGGGATCTAGATTCGTGCGACCATAGAACCTGACCATGGACTGACTTTCGACCATAAGGATTGTCGAGATGATATTTTGGGCTAATATAGACCGATCTAAGGATGGTCAGGGATCGATTTGCGAATGTCGTATAATTGGATCGCGGGTGATTCCGCCTCGCCAGAATACGAAATTTGCGAACGATCTCAAACCTATTCCAAACGATCGCATCCTTTAGAACTAATGATTGATCCTCGCAATTACATGACAATTGAGGTCGTCATGGCTCAAGTGAACTTAAATGTGGTTCGATTTAGTATCGACCACGGGTCGAATGTACGAATTTTCCCGAAAGCCACCCGTTAGTTTGGGATAAACTCAAGTCGCGTTTATTTGAGTTTGTCATTAAAGAGAGACTGAGTTTGGGTGTTGAAAATTTTGAAAGTCATGACAGAGTAATTGGACGACGTCGTTATTACCGTGGTCAGCCTTGGATTTGTCCGAATTCGTCAGAAAACTGAAATTTTGACAGGAAGTGAAAAATGACCGTTTTGCCCCCTGGGATTTTGTGAAGGCTAAGTATAAAAGTGGAAGGGCATTTTGGTCATTTCACCCCCACTTTAGAGATATAAATTTTTGGACGACTTTGCCCCTGCACTTTTTGTGAAATTCCTATTTTACCCTTGGATATTTTTTGTAAGAATTGATCTTGGCCGTTGGTTTTTGGATAAGCTTAGATCTTGGCCGTTGAATGGAAAGTAGAGAGGAGGGTAGGATGGTAATTTTGGCTAGGGGTAAGTGCACCAATTATTGGTGCCACTTATTTATTTCCTTTTTCCTCTCTCTTTCTCTCTCTCCCTCGCATTCCCACGCCAAAACCCTCTCTCTCTCCCCCTTGGCCGAACCAACCCTCTCTCTTCCCCTTAGCCGTGTTTTGGCCGGAGCCGTGCCAGATCACCGCGTGCTCGCCGTCCGCCGTGCGTCCGACCGCCGGACCGCCGTGGCCACCGCGTCCTCGCCGCCTTGCCGCCCCCTTAATAGGCTGTTCTTGCTTGGAAATTTCAAGTAAGTGACACCCTAATCCCTATTTAGGATATCGGGTATTAACGGGCTCGTTTAGACACGGTTTAGTGTAGTTTTAGGGGCTGTTTTGGATGAGGGTTTTTATGGACGAATTTGTGGTGATTTGGTTGGTAATTAGAGGCTAAATGAGGGCTGAGTATGGTTGGTATAAGTGCTGCAAAATTCGGTTTGGTGCATAGGGTACATAATTTGGTTCGACTCTTAATTGTGTGAAATCGGGGTGTAGTGCCGTGTTTGTTGTGCCATGGTTTTTGTGATGAAATATGGCATGTTATGTGATGGTTATATGTATGTTACATGGGCTGAATTGAGATGGTTGAATTGAGTGCATTTAATTAATGTTCGAGTATGTGAACGTGTGAGATTTGAGGCGTGTGATGTGCGTATGATCACTAAAAAGCCCTGACGCGTGTTTACGCGGGGTACAGATAAAATATGGCGTGTTGGCATGTTCGCGTGTTCACTTAATCCTTAAGGCGTGTTTACACGGGGAATTGAACCGGCCTGAGGCGTGTTTACGCGGGTCATGATACGAATGTGGAGCCTGAGGCGTGTTTACGCGGGCTATAGAAAGAGATTGAGAATGAGATGTGTGATGTGGCAAGTGAAAATGAGATCGGGCCTGAGGCGTGTTTACGCGGGTCGCGATAGGAATGTGGAGCCTGAGGCATGTTTAAACGGGCTGTGGAAAGAGAATGAGAATGAGATGTGTGATGTGGCAAGTGAGAATGAGATCGGACCTTAAGCGTGTTTACGCAGGTCATTGGCAAGTTTAATGAAAATGGTGTGGTGGTGCATGATGAGTGTGAAATGCGGAGTTTGGAAATGCCATGTGTTCGACATTTGCTTTTGGGCATGAGATTAGTTTGGAAAGAGCATGTGGTTTGAAATTTGTGAATTTGAGACTAACGTGCAGATTGTGTGTACTAAGAGCCCAGGTAAGTGCATTTGTGTGCATGTTATGTGTTTATTGAGTGATATTGTGTTTGGACTTGTCTGGAGGTACGTGATAGCCTAAGTGGGGTTTAGGCTGTCGACTTATTGAGATTCGTCTCATAGTTGTATAAATTAACCTTTTCAGAACCCCGGCCTGGACCATGAATCCTCCACCGCCACCGCCTCAGCGTTTTGGGCATACCTATGCATACCGATCATGCAGTAGTAGAGTACCCTATAGATGATAATATAGCTTGGATTAAGCACACCACAGTAGTTTGGGTAGATGTAGGACTACCTCTTTGGTAAGCCCACACTTATACAGCCTGGTGTTTCCGGGAGGGTTTGAACGAGTTCGGACCGGTTCGTGGTTTCGATGTCCCTTTCGATGGAGTGAGAGATTGGGACCCATCGACTATACCTCCTCCTGATGGGGAGATAACCAGCCTCGACACTAGCCTCGCACAGTCAGGTCATCAGCCTGTACCTGCAGAACCCGAATCCACGGTGGCTGAGCCTGAGCCGGAGCCGAAAGAGTCACAAGCAGGGTACGATCCGATGGACGTGGATTTAGGTGAAGAGCCTGAGGGGGAGCTCGAAGAAGAGGAGCCTGAAGAAGAACCTGAGAGAGAACCCGAGGAGGAACCAGAAGAAGAGCCAGAGGAAGAACTCGACGAAGAACCGGAGGACGAGCCGCCGATTGATGTTCCAGACGATTCTGATGATGAGATTATCGAGATTGAGGCGGATTCTGAGTCTTCAGAGGAGCAGGAGGATCAGGGAGAGTCAGATTCAAGTTCTAAGGAGACTGACTCAGAGTGGACACCGTCTAGAGGTCGTAGGGGTTAGTTGGGGGTAAGGTAACCTTTTTTGAAGTGCCCCTTTTTGAAGTTAGTTTATACCCAGACTACTGGTCCCTTTTGATGTTGGTGGTGCGAACTTTAGAAGCCGATATGCGTGTATAATATGTTTATTGTAAATAGTATGTAATGTTATAAGTTTGATTTGGTAATGAATGTATATTCTCCCTATTGCCCCTTTCTAAATATTGTCTGGGTGTATGTTTGCTTCCGTTAGTACTTTATCTATGTGTATTTGGGGTCGGCGACATCCTGAGACGTCGCATTATTTCGACCAAGCTTTGGAGTGTCGCGCGCTCGTCGGGGTTCGAGGCGTGACATTCGACGATTTGTGTATAGAATCCAGTCAAAGTTTTCAATCCCTACGCGTAACACGTTAAAGAGTGATTGCTATGCATTATACGTGAAGGAAAGAAGAAAATTGATGAAATATTTTGTCGACACGTGTCCTAGAGTTTGTTTGATGATCGACACATGGACCTCTTGTCAAAATTTGACTTATATGTCTCTCACTGCTCATTTTGTTGATGCTAATTGGAAATTGCAGAAGAAAATCCTAAATTTTTGTCAAATCCCGGGTCATTCTGCCAAAATAATAGGAAATGTGATTGAGAAATGTTTGACTAGTTGGGGGATTCAAAGTATTTTTTCCATCATTGTAGCTAATGCAAGTTCAAATGATTTAGAAATTCAATACTTGAAAAGAAGACTTAACTCTTGGAACACTCTGGTATTGAGAGGTGAGTTACTCCACATGAGGTGTTTTGCTCATATACTGAGTACGATAGTGAAAGAAGGCTTAAAAGATATAAATGATTTCATTGTTAAAATACGTTCAGCTCTACGTTATGTGAGGTCTTCTCTTGGAAGGTTGAGGCGGTTTAAGGATTGTGTTGAACTAGAGAATATTGAGTCCAAGAGTCTTGTATGTTTGGATGTGGAGACTCGTTGGAACTCGACATATATGATGCTGGAGGCGGCTTTGAAGTTTCAAAAAGCTTTTTTCTTATTGGAAATTCAAGATAGCAAATTTGTTGAAGAACTGTCCAAGGCGAAAAGGTTGCCTACTAGTGATGATTGGAATTATGCCCGTCACCTTCTTCCTTTCCTGAAGTTGTTCTTTGATACGACTTCAAAAGTTTCGGGTTCTTCTTATGTCACTAGTAATAATTTGGCAAATGATGTCTATGGGCTTTTTGGGATGATTAATGAATATTGTGAGAATGAAGATAAAAGTTTGCAGGAAATGGCTAAAAGAATGATGACCAAATTCATTAAGTATTATGGCAATGTGAACAATATCAATCTTAATTTGTTCATTGCTTGCATACTTGACCCTCGACATAAGTGGGAATATGTGAAATGGTTGATTAATGATGTTTATGAAAGCAAGCAAGCAGAAATTTTACATGATAAAGTAACATCATCGCTAATATCATTGTACGAGCAATACTGCACTGGTAAATGCCCCCAAGGCAACTTGAGATTAAAGGGTACAAGGACAGTAAATGTGTCAAAGTCTCCCGTGGTTGGTGCGGACTTTATTACTGCAAAGTATCTTAGCCAAACGGGACAACAAATTTTGGAAGAAAAATCTGAATTGGATAAATATTTGGAAGAAGGATGTGAACGTTATAGCCCCGACTTTGATATCTTAACTTGGTGGAAAGTTAATTCTTCGAGATATCCTATCCTCTCTTCCATTGCTCGTGATATTTTGGCCGTGCCCGTTTCGGCTCTAGCATCAGAGGCCGCATTTAGCACAGGAGGTCGTGTATTCGATGTCTTTCGTAGCTCCTTGACCCCAAGAATGGTGGAGGGTCTCATATGTGCTCAAGATTAGCTACGATCCTCTCCACTTTCACTTTCAATTGAGGATGACTTAGAAGAACAAGAAAATTTTGAGTCAAGTCAGAAAACATAATTGTGGAATATTTATTCTTTTATATATTACAATGGATACTTAAGTTCTCATTTTGATTGTGAATTTAATGCAGAGTGTTCAACTACAATTATGGAGCCGAACTCGATATCAGTTTCTCTTGATGATTGACAAAGTTGAAAATTGGTACTTGCTAAACCAATTTTTTTATTCTTATTGCAAATTTACTTTTTCATATTCAAATTAGGCATTTAGCAATTGTTATCTTCTTCATTTCTTACTTGCAAGTTGACCTTACTGAAGAATGGTTTTTTTTTCCAAATCTCGGATGTGGGGTTGTTATCACTTGCTTTACTTTTTTATCATTTCCTTTCTTTAATTTGACTGGATGGGTCTTTTTGCATCTATGGATGACATATTGTAGTGATGCAATAGAAATAGAGAAATGTGAGTTTTTGCATATTGAAATAGAAAGATGGTGCTTGCTGAAATCATGTAATGCTTTGGTGAGATCCAATTGAGATTTTGAGCAGGAAGTGAAGTAACTTGTAATGCGCCTTGTTCTTTTTCTTCTATGAGCAGGAAAGCATAGAGATTTCATGTAATGCTTTGGTGAGATCCAATTGAGGTTCTGAGCAGGAAGTGAAGTAATTTGTAATGCGCCTTGTTCTTTTTCTTCTGTGAGCAGGAAAGCATAGAGATTTCTAGGGAGAGAGACAACAGAATTTTTTGCTGTATATTCATTTGTCAAACTCTTTCCTTTTTTCGTATGCATGCTTACACAATCCCAGAGTGAAAGCGTGATGATAAGGTGAGATGTGACAGTGTCCTAAGAATTCCTTTGGTTTCATGAGATGTCCTAAGAATTCCTTTGGCCTCATGAGATAGCTTGGATTTTCTTTTCTTTTTTCAGTCTCATTGTGTGCTGTCTTTGGGAGCAACTTGATGAAACCTGTAAAAATATTGTCGGATGCATACAGGAACGCGAAAGGGATTTTTCTTTTTCTTGTTTACTCTACCCAAGCCAGTGATTTGTAAGGTATGGGATAGCATGAAGATTTTGAGCAAAATAAGATGCTGATAAAGTTATTGAGAAAATGAATCGACCGCAAGAAATGATTAGTAAACCTCTAAACATGAACCCGACCCGACCCGAACACGATCGGATTGTGCGGCTATATCATGTTCGGGTCTTGTTTCGGGTCAGGCCAAGTACATATATTCATTATTTCGGGTCGAGTCGGGTATCATGAAAACCCGACCTGACCCGACCCATTGACACCCCTAGCTTGAGTAAGCTTAGATGTGGCTCGATATTGAATTGGCCATTGGTCGATACGCGTAATTCCTAAAAGTCGCCCGTTAGTTCGAGATGCACTAAAGTCGATTCGATTGAATCTGGCTATTGATTAGAATTTGAATTGGGTATCGAAGTTTCAAGATTTCCACAACTAAATTGTTGAACTTGGTCTCAGTAAGCGTGGCCAACTATTGGATTACTCGGATTTATCGGAAAAGTGTGATTTAGACCAGGTATTGAAAAAGACAATTTTGCCCTTGAGTTATTTGAATTCATTTGAAAGGTTGAAAGATAAATTGGACATTAATGTTTTGCCTCCAATGGCCGAAATTAGAGGTCCATTGTGCCCCTACTCGTCTTTGTTTGTTCCCTTTTTGCCCTTGGATATTTCTTCTAAAAGATTGATGTGAGCCATTAGATCAAGTAATGAGATTAGTGAGTAAATCCCAGCCCTTGATTGAGCTTAGTGGGGTTGTTAGTGGTGAAAAGTGGAGGTAGTTGACCTAACAAGACTCTCCCTTTTGATAAACTTATTCTTTCCTTCTCTTACTCTCTCACTCTCTCTCATACACACTCCCTCTCCCTCTCTCTTGCATTCGGCCGACTCCTCTCCTCTCCCTCCTCACGAGCTGCTGCTCGCCAACCATTGCCGGAGCCACCCAGCCGCCGGCAGCCACTCACCGCCGTTGCCGCTCGCCTCTTGCACCCCCTACCGTGACACTCTCTCATTCCCTCTCTTTCTTACTCACTCAGCCATAACCACCACCAACCGAGATCACTAGCAACACCCCCGACCACCTGAGCTGCCGTCCGCTCTTGCTGCTTGTTCACCGGAGTAGCCGCTGTCGTGCCAAAGCTCTGCTGCCCCCCTCCCTTTGCTTGATAATCTTGCTTAGGCTCCCTAGTAAGTGCTCCCTAAACCTTGATTAAGATAATGGATTACTAATGACATGTGTAAGGGCAAATTAAGGGCTGTTTAGATGTGGTTTAGTGGATGGATGAGTTTGGTTGCTTGTTGGTTCTTGCTTGGTTGATTCTCGGTTTGGTTACTGCTGCCTCTGTATTTTGTTATTTTTATGAAGACTTGTGTGGACCGAATCTGAGAAGATGTCATTCATGAAAATTGTTCCTAAAATCTTGAAGCATAAAATAAATTAAATCTGGAATTTTTGGAGATAATTTGGGGTCATTCGGAAGTCCATTTTTGGACCGTCTCAAAACTGTCGAAATTACTGTTTACCCGACCTTCTTATATTTCCGAATTTTTATAAATTTTTTCAGGTCTCTTTTCAACAAACTTCCTTCATGAAAATTGTTAAGAACACTTGTTTCTATCACATATAAAAATTTAAAAGCTTTTTAAAGATATTTGGGTACTGATTGAGATACATTTGGAATGCCGGGCGACCTGTCCAAACGAACTGATTTCTGTCTGATTTTGAGTAACAAAAAGAGGTATTTACAGTCGGAACTGGGTTTCATGCTCCCATGAAAAATGTTTATCAAGATGTTTTCTATGACATATCCAAAATTCATAATTTTTGGAGTTGAATTACTATTTATTTCAAAAGGATTTCGGTTGTTATGCAGCCGCCTAGAATAGCCCCAGTTCTGTGCAAGTTCGATTTTTTCTCTCTCTCGAGGACTATTCGGTGTTATTATTGCATATGAGAGGCGCGGCTTTTTGTTAGATGAGTAAGGAATTTAGTGGTATTTGACTAATCAAAAAAATGAGAATTGGTTTGAGTGCTTAAATGCCCGTGTGATCACATAACGCCATGATGCGTCTTACGTGGGGATTAAACCCGTTTTGATGCGTTTTACGCGAGACGATACCCGATTTATCGGATGCCCGACGGGGGCCCTGATGCTAATTGCGGTGGAGGCCGGATTGATGCTTTTCATGGAATGTCGTCTTGATGCGTTTAACGCGGGACGTTGCCGTCGCCGACGTAGTGGGACGATGCCCGATTACGCAGGAAGACCGATAACCTGATGCGTTTTATGCAGGTTCGGGGGAGCCCGAGGGGCCGTTAATAATCTGGACTTAGTGAGTGCAATGTGCATTATGGAATGCCATGTTTGAGACTAATGTTGGGCATGTCTAGATTATTAAGTGTGTTATGCATGTTTATGCCTCGATTTTGGTTGTTATACTCGATGAGCGTTTGCTATGTTGTGGCAGTTCTCTAACGTGCAGGGCTTATGTATGTGCTAATGTGAGGTAAGGGCGCCTATAATTGATATGGTACATTGATTGATAGAATTGCATATTTAGAACTGTTCGGAGGTACGCGTTAGCCTAAGCGAGGCTTAGGTAGTTACTTATTGAGATTTATTCTCATTGTTGTATCCCAAATATTTCAGACCCCCACCATGAACATGAATGACCCATCGTAACACTTTGGGGTACCGATGCATATGGAGCATATGTTGACGGAATACCCGGTGGGAGAAGATAAGGTTTACATTAGGCATACTAGTACTGTTTGAGTAGACGAGAGCGAGACCTTTAAGAAACCACATACCTTTTTGGCTTCATTCTATCAGGACGGAGACGAGTTGTTTGGTCCACTCCGGAGATTTGATGCTCCCCCTAATGACGGAGTAGGAGAGTGGGACCTCATGGAGATCCTTCCACCGGACGGAGTTGTTACTAGTCCGAACACCGGTCCTGAAGATTCGGATCCCGAGTCGGAGCCTATGGAGTCTGACCCCAAGCCGGAGCCTATTGAATCCGAACCCGAGCCGTCCGACGACATGGCTGATCCAAGATCGCCTGAGTATTTCGAGTCCGATCCGGGGATGCCGCCTGGGTATCGTGGCGGTGAATGATAAGTTTAGAAATCCCGACTTTTGAGAAACCCTCTTTTGATTAGAGGAGTTAGGCTAACCGACCACCTAACCGTTTTTGTTACACGTGGTCCGTAGTTAGTTGCCTCATAGAAGGCTTACAAATATATATGTTGTTGCTGACGTTGTGTTTATAAAAGTGTTTCATTAATGTGTATCAAATGTCTCTCTACTATCCCATTTAATTGTATGTTGTATAGAGAGTTCGAGTTTGCTTCCGCTTGCGTTATCGTTGTGATTTGATTGGGTCGGCGACAAGTCATGGGATGTCGCACACTTAACGACCTAGGCGGAATGTTGCGTGCTCGTGGGGATCGAGGCATGACATCTATGGTTTCGTCACATAGAGAGAGAGGAGAGAGTAGGGAGAGAAAGGGAGAGAGAATAATCCGAAAAGGCATTTTTTGGTGGTCCTGACTCTGAGGTGTCAATGGGTCGGGTCCTACCCTACCCCAACCCTAATAATATATCCATACCTAAAAGCCCTACCCGAAAAGACTAAGGCCCAACCCCAAAATACCCCAAATTTTAGGGCCGAGCCGAGCCGACGCAAATCGGGCAGGGTCGGCTCAGGTCTTTTTGACACCCCTAGTCTTAGACTTGCTCGAAAATGTTCAGCCCAATTCCTGAGTGGGTCCAAGAATTGTCCTTATCTTTTTTTTTTTATTCTTTTTCTACTCCTTGCAAGCTAATAAAGAACATATGTGTCACTTGCTCATCAAAACTTACTACTCATGTTTTCCCCCAAAATAGATCCTACAAACAAAATAAAGAACAGATAGCACGGTTTCCGATGACAAATCAAATTAAAAATGAGAGGATGACCATCTCCAATTTTATATTTTTTGGGTCAAAGATAATATTCATTTCATTAGCTAGGATAGAGTATGTGACATGTCTAAACAAAGCAAATCTAAAAGAAATTTCGGGGAATTAGACAGCCAGTCCGAAGGAAGAGTCTTTTTACGATTGGCTTTCACGATCTAGTTCACTAAATGATTTGCCTCTCTTGGAAAATGGGCTATGGAGACAGACTAAAACTAGCCCAGCAAAATCTTGCAATCTTCTACCCAGGTCCGTATTTGCCATGGGCTTTCTAGTTGAAAGTGCAGATCAGTTGCCCCCTGCAAATCACGAAGACTTTTCACATGGGAGAGAGCTTCGGCCAGAGCTAGGTTTCCACTCCGATCATTGATGAAGCTCGACACGATTTCACGAAGCCCGATAATTACGCCGTTGAAGTCCCGACACACTCCAACGATTGATCCTTCTGTCGATCCCTCTGTCCACGACCCATCAATATTGAATTTCAATACCCCTCTTGATGGCGGAATCCACTTTGCAGGTAGATTTTGTGGACCATCATTCTTACAATTCGCCTCTCGATTCCACCTCATGAAACTTTCCTGCAGAGCAAAGGCTTCATCCACAACCGATGTAGGATCCAGTTTTGGAGATTGGAATATGAAGGCGTTTCTTGCTTTCTAGAGCGACCATAATACTCTAGCCAGTAATTCTCTCCTCTGTGAGTTTTCGGTTACTTCGAAATGTTGGAGAACCCACGAATCCATTCTCGTAATCTTGTTCTCCATGATTTTCACTTTCAATCTGGGATCCGTCCAAATCCCTTTAGTCCAAGGGCATAATAGAAACAAATGTTCTACTGTTTCTCGCATTTGGTGACACAATTGGCATATAACGTCAGTGTCACGACCCGAACCAAGACCGTGAGACTCGGTCCCGACCTCGGTCTAAATTCGTGATCATCCTTGCTTTGGGGTTATTGATGCGACATCCCAGGCACGTCGCCGTCTCGTTCTTTTTTATCTTTAGTTACAAGCAAACGGAAGCATTTACACTTGACACCCAACAACAAGAACGTCAAACAACCGAAATGGGATAGGAAACATATTTTACAAGCACACCATTAATTTATATGATACGTGCATATTTTACAAGCCCTTCCACTACGGGCCTTGTTCATTTACATCCGGTCTAATACATACTATCCACACGGTCAGGGTAGTTCTAGCTCCTCTACCACGGCTCCTTCCTCAAAAAAAAAACAAAAGTCAGTCTTCCTCGTACTCGGTAAGCTACCTACGGCCCACCCATAATCCCCTCGGGCATGGCGTCATTGGCGGCTCCAGGTGGTCTGTCAAAGTCAGGAAGGGGTCCAAGCAAATCTCCGTCAAACCAAAGAACCAAGCTTCATAACGGTTGGGGACTAACTTGTTGGCGTCCTCTTGCACCCAAATTGTGGTGGTACACTTACGATATGTGATTTCAGATTCTACATCGACTATATCGATTACTGACACATGCATTTCTATAGGGAGCCCATAATGAATCGGAAGTGGTGTAGACATACCTATGAATCTAAAAATAATAAAGAGTGAGTCATAACTCAGTAAGTAAATTCACTAAACTTCGATTAAGAGGATGCCTCGCCATTGAACAAGAGATCAACCATTACCGTTTCACTTATCGATGGCAAATCAATAGCAAAGATACGTTTTACCTTGCCTATATGTTAATCATGTCACACGCATCATCCATGAGAATATCAAGCATAGTATTTAAACGTTGCATGCAAGAATCAACACACGAGATTTATTTATTCTTAACCGAAATCTATTGGTTCTTCCGGAATTCACCAGGCATCCGAAATCCATCGGGCATGCAGAACCCACTGGGCATTCGAAATCCACCAGGCATCCGAAATTCATCTGGCATCCGAAATCCATCGGGCAACGTCCCGAAATCCATCGGTGGCGACTTTAGTCACTCGTGTGATCATGCAACAAACATCAAACAATCCGATTTCTTATTTTGTTAACGTTAGTCCATGCATTCAAGGCCCGAAGGGATGCTGTGCTCGTGTAATTCATGACTTATAAGGCAAATGCCAAACATGCCGGTCACGGTCTAGGGCTCGTGGCTCGATCCGCCATGCCGAACACCGGCTTGGAGCTGAGCTTAGCCTGGATCTACTCGTGACCAAGCCAAACTCGGTCCATCACGCCACAACATGGGTACAAGACCATACGATGCCCCTTTTCGTGGCCCGATTGTACCTTGACTCACGGCCATGATGCAAAAATAAAACAACACTTGTGCAAGCATGAATCACTATAAGTAAGGTCATCAATCAAGCCCAACTACGCAACAAAATATCCTAACCAAGGAGTAGGGAATTCACTTACTACTAGTGTCAATGGGTGATCTTAAAGGAGTGTTCGGTGATGGTGAGTATGCGGATTTGAGTGTGGATGAGAGGGTGATAAGGAGAGGAATGGCGTGCAAGGTTGAGGGAAAGAAGAGAATAGAATGGAGGCCCTTTTATTTATAACCCAAGTCCTAATGATGATCTTGCCAAATGGACCAATTACTTGTTTCAAGTTGGCGCCTAATGAGGGAAGGGAAATCTTGCAAGATCTTAGGCCTAATCATTGTTGGTTCCATTGTCTTACAAGTGTCTTACTTGTTCTCCAAGCCTCTCATTAGGGTCATTATGCTCTAAGTTTAGGTATGTGACTCATCCCATTCATTAATTGTCAGAACAACACCTAAGCTCCTAATGATAGCTTTCCAATAATTTCCATTGACTTGGTCTTCTATTTGTCTAGTTCTCCAAGTTCCTTGGGCATGTGGCTTGTCTTATCCCTCTAGAATTCTCACGAACACTTCAATAATTGGCTAGAGACAACTTAGAAGATAAGATCTTCACTAATGATTAGCCTCCAATTATTGACTAAGGCTGACTTAGTCTACTTGGCTTCTTGTTCCTCAAGTTTGGGCGTGTGACACTTGTTCTTGCCTTTTAAGAACACTCGATAACTCACTAAGGACAACTAACTTATAACTTACCTTTTTCATTAAGCACAACCTCCAAAACCTATTATGATACTAACAAAGGTAAACTAAGTAAATGATAATTTTATGTGTCTAAAAACGATCAATCATCCTATTCGGACCAAGGTTCGGTGTAGAAATGTGTCCAAGCATGACCAGACATAACCAAGCCAAAGTCCGAGCTGAATGGCGCAAGGCCAGACCCGCCAGACTAACCAGGCGCATTGCATGTTCAATCGGGCCTGACCAGGTGTAGGGCCTGGCTCACAGTCGGGCCGCACGGGTGCAGCGTTGGACACAAAGCCGGGTCGCACAGGCACTGGGCCAAACGGTTGGTGTGCCGAGCGCATGACTGAGCCACACGATTGACGGGCCAAACACTTACATTGGCACACGGCCGGGCATAATGCATGGCCCGTGGCCAAGTATGATCGGCACAGGACTAGGTCTGAGCCGAAACTGATGGGCACAAGGCCTGGCACAAGTATTAAGCATGGTGACTGGCACATGGCCGGGCATGGGGCCAGCTCATAGCCTGACTGACGGGCTCATGGCTGGTCCATGGCTGGGCACAAGGCCTGGCTTGTACAGCCGACACAAAATCCAGTCCGCGACCAAGCCACAAGGCTCTTGGCCTGGCACATGGCCTGTCCATGGTCTACCCAACTCAACGCATCGATCCATAGCCGATTCGCGATCGGTCCACGTTCGAGCATCAACAATCCATGGTCGACCCTCGGTTGTCATGTAGTCACGTGGACTCGATCACGATGGCATTGGTCCATGGCCGAGCGGAATCACCCGCGACCGACTCATGCCCTCCCGGCATCGATCCATGGCCGTTCGATATCATTCCACTGCCGACCCTTATGGTCGAGCGATCAATCCATGGTCGAATTACTCTAATCAACTTGCGTGATTGGGGAGTAATTTCACGGCTGATCACTTGGCCAGTTCATGGACAATCCTTTGATTGAACCATGACCGATTCTTTAATTACCCGTTCCGACAATACCAACTAATCTATGACTGACCATCGATTCGGTCCGCACACCAATTCCTTGGCCATTTTCTCTTGATCGATTTGGGGTCCAAATCGTGGATGTCACAGTCAGGTAAAGCCTTCC